GGTGTTGAGTGCCACACCAATTCTGAGCCCAGCACGTGCTGACCCACTGGACGCAGGCGACCCCAGCCCTGTGGGGCGGCTCTCTTACCGCGGCCCCCACCACACAGCTGGCAGAGGAGGTGGCCGAACAAAGTGTCCAAGAGGCGGAGGGGGAGTGGGAACGCTGCCTGTCGTCCCGACGAGGTGTCAGCCGTCCAGGCCCCGCAGAGTGCGCTGGGGCGGAGGGTGGGCAGGAAGAGGAAGGGGGTGTGCTCTGGAGCCGACAAGGGCACCAGCAACCCTGCGGGAACCGCCCTTTGGAACAGCCGATCCCCTCGGCCTCTGGGGCCGCCCGGGAGCGGCAGAAAGGGCCCGGCTGGACAGTGCCTCCAGCGCCAGGCTCTCCTGCCCCCGCGCCCTTCGTCCCGCCAGACCTCTGACGCCCTCCCAACCCACCGCAAGGGGCTGGGGGCCTGGAGCCTGAGGGCGGCGGCTCGGCCCCCTTCAGCTAGCAGGGGGCAGACAGGGGAGCCTCTGCCTGGGGGCCCCTGGAAGGGCTGCGTGCAGGGCCCGGTGTGGCGCCGCTCCCTCCCCTGCAGCTGCCGGGGGCGGGGGGGCCCTGCTGCTGAGGCCCCCTCCACTCCCATCAAGGGACCTCTTGCTCCTCCTCTTCCGTGGGATCTGGACTTCGGACAGCAGGGCTTCTCAAGGGGGGCTCGCCCTGCTTTCTCAGCCCAGGGCTGGGGGGGCAGCTTCCCTGTGAAGAACTTGGCCTTGGGACCCTGCCCCCAGGAGAGGAGACCACGAGGCCTCATGTGTGTGTCCTGTAAAGTTTTTTATTGTGGTCAAGTATCTATACACCAGGCTCACCGCTCGGTGATATCGAACACACCAACACCGCACCGCCAGCGCCGCCGTCCACCTGCAGAGCTTTTCCATCCTGCCAAACGGACACCCCGGCCCCGTGAAGACACTCACCGCCCCCCGCCCTGGCACCCACCATCCCACTCTCTGATTTTGATGGGTCTTAAGCACCCCGTTTAAGCACACGCACAAGCCACAGTTTCCCCCCTGTTCCGTGCTGAATAACACTCCACGGTACGCGCCTGCCGAGTTTTGCTGGTCTGTTCATTGACTGATGGGCCCTCGGGGGTGTGTGTATGTGTGTTGGCTGCTGTGAACGCAGGTGTGCAAACCTCTCCCTCCGCATGATCCGGCTGTCAGTTCTTTCGGGCGTGTGCCCAGGAGCGGAATAGCCAGATCATATGGTAACTCTACGTTTAATTTCTTGAGGAACCTCCATAGTATCCCCTACAGTGGCTGCCCCAGTTTATATCGTTTCCGACAGCGCAGCAGGGCTGTGATTCCCCCCTCATCCTCGCCAACGCTCATTTCCTCCGTGTGCGTGCTCACGGTGTCCGTTCGAACAGGCGTGGGGGTACCCCGGAGCTCTGACTCCTTCCCATTCCCTGGCGACCGGCCGTGTCGAGTGTCTCTAAGTGCACTCTCGGGTCACTTACCTTCTTCGGTAAAGGGTCTACTCAAGCCTCCTTTTTGAATCAGCTTGCTGTTTTGTTTTATTTTAGGGGTTCTCTATATATTCTGCATATTACCCCGTTATCAGATGTGTGGTTTTTAAAATATGTTATCCCACTATGTGGCTTGCCTTTTTACTAATTTTTTTAAATTTATCTACTTTTTAGAGAGAGGGGAAAGGGAGAGAGGAAGAGAAGCATCAATGTGCAAGGGATACATTGACTTGTTGCCTCTCAAGCGCCCCCTACTGGGGACCTGGCCCACATTCCAGGCAGGTGCCCTGACCGGGACTCAAACCTGTGTTGGGTTCTCAGGCCCACACTCAATCCACTGAGCCAATGCCAGCCAGGGCTTACTGTTGATTTTTGATGTACAAATTAAAAAATTTTTTTATCAAGTTAAACTGTCTTTTTTGTTGTTGTTGTCTGTGCCTTTGGTGATACACCTAAGAAGTCACTGCCAAGACCGGTGTCAGGAAGCTTGTGCCTTTGTTTCCTCGTTAAGAGATTGGGGTCTCGAGTTTGGGTCCTTTCTCAGCCCCATTTGTCTCGGAGACGGTCCTTTTCCCCTTGGTCTTGACAGCCTTGTCAAAACCCACGTGACCCCGTATGTGAGGGCTCTCTGCTCCCCACCCAGGGGAGCCACCTGCGGGCCTCTCCCTGCCTCTGGCGCTCCAGCTGCCCATCTCTTGCCGTCCAGCTCCGGGGAGAATCTCTCATCACCGGCCCCGCCGGGCTCGCCTGCAGGCAGACGCACGGGCAGGCCGGCTGTGCAGATCCCCAACCGCAAACATAAATCATGTCTGCACGTGTCATGTCTGCGCACGTGCTGGGGGCGCATCACATCTGTGCATGTGCTGGGGGTGCGCAGCACCCGACCTCAGGGCCGCCCCAAGTGCTGGAGGGCCATCTTGGAAGACTGGGGCTCCTGATGCCCTGTGCCCCGGGCTCCGTGGGAGCGACAGCAGACACTGCCGGCACCGAGCTGGTTTCCAGATGCAGTTAAATCCTCCCAGAGCCACCATGAGGCTCTGGCCAGGGTGACCAGCGTCACTGACACATCCTGTCCCAAAGGAGAAGCAGGCAGACACGGGAGAGCCCCCGACTGTGCAACCAGGGACCCGGTGGGGGGAGTCACGTGGGGGCTGACAGAGGACAAGGAGGGGGTTTCTGGCCCGCTCAGCCTAGAGCAGCCACCATGGGGGAGGCAGAATAATACAAGGTCTCAAGCCCTCCTTCAAGGGGTCTTGGGTTCCATCTGGGAGATGAAGCCCCAAGCGGATGTTTCAGCGGAGGACCGCCCTGCGCGCTCGCAGGAATGTAGGGCAGGGACTCGGGAAGTGGCCTCTGCAGTCTGGGAATTTTCTGTTATCTTTATTAATGGGTCTTGGCCCCAGGAGGGGGCCGGCACAGGCTTCTGTCCGCGAGGGCTCTGCAGGACTGCAGCGGGGCGGGGGGAGAGGTGGTGGAAACGGTCCTTGGAGAGCGGTCAGACGGAGCAGCGCACGGGCTTGACCCGGTTCTGCCACCAGGCTGGGCCGGGCTCCTGCCCGCTCGGGCCTCGGGCCTCGGGTCTCCGAGGGGTCGGCCCCTACGTCCCAGGGCGGCGTCCCGCCCACAGGAACCTGGCACAGCCCTGCGGCCCCCCGCCTGCGTCCCTGGCCCGCCGCCTGGCTCTGTCCGCCGCCTGCTCTTATCTTCCACTGCACCCAGAAGAGTTCCTCCTCCGCGGGGTCCGTGCCCGGACTGGTCTGCGTCGCGCATTCCGAAGGACGACCCCGCAGCTTGGTCTCGCCCCGGCGGCGCGGCGCCCCCGCCGACGGGGACTCACGGTGGGAGCCGGAGCCCCGAGATCTGTGGCTGCACGGGCTGCGGAGACCTCAGCCAGCCTCCAGGCGGAGCGGCCGCACGCCCGGAGCCCGCGCCGTCCTACGGGGCCTCAGGGCCAACCCCGCCCCGCCCACAGCACCCTACTCGCCAGCCGACGCCCCAGGCCCCGCCCCCGCCTCACCCCGCCCGCCCCGCCCACCAGAAGCGGAAGTGCCCTAGGGCGCCCGGCCAGGCTCTGCGCAGACTCGCCGCGGCCCGCTGGGACCCGGAAGCACTCGCCGAGGCCCCGCCCCTCCCGCCAATAGCGCTGCCGGGGGAAGCTGCGCTCTCTTTCTCCGGACGTGCTCGTGGCGGTGGCAGCAGGTAGGCCGCGCTGCCGGTGCCGGCTCGCGGGGGCTGTGGGCGGGGATCGGGGCGAGGGTCAGGGTGGGGGCTGGGCGCGCGGGGTCCGGGCGAGGCCCCGGCGCGGGAACTGCGGTCGGGAGCAGGGCTCGCGGACACGCCTGGTGCTCACGCGCTGCGCGGGGCCCCGCAGGCGCGCTCTCACCATGCAGAACGACGCCGGCGAGTTCGTGGACCTGTACGTGCCGCGGAAATGGTGAGCGCCGTCCCCGCCCGGGCCCTTTTCCCCAGCCGCCTCCACCCCGGTCCCCCTTCCGCTCACAGCGCTCTCCCCGCAGCTCCGCCAGCAACCGCATCATCGGCGCCAAGGACCACGCGTCCATCCAGATGAACGTGGCCGAGGTGAGCCGGGCGGCGGGAGGGATTGCACGGCCGGGGAGGAGAGAAAGCTCTGGAGCGCGGGAGCGGGGCCTGGGCTGGCGCCGGCGTGGATCGTTCCGAAGCCCCAAGTTCAGAACGAGAGTCGCTGGGGCGCCTGTCTGGTGTGACTCTCGTTCTCCATCAATAGGTCGACAAGGTGACAGGCAGGTTCAACGGCCAGTTTAAAACCTACGCTATCTGCGGGGCTATTCGCAGGATGGTGAGTGTCTGGGGGCTTGGCCCACCCGGGCCTTTGGGGGCCGAGTGGTGTCTCGCCTTTTCTCATTGGTCGGAAGGATAGTTTGAGCCTGCGGGACTGGCTTTCGCGGGCTGCCCATCCCTGGGGAGGGCGGGGAGGTTGCTTATAGACAGGACCGACGGTCTTGGGAACACTCAGCCAGTCTTTACTTTGGAGCCTCCCAGGTACCCCACTCTCCCCCTCCCCCAGTCTCCAAGGCCTCCCCTGTCCCGAGAGGCATGAGGCTGGGAGAGTCTCCCCCCCCCCCCCCATTACTGCTGTGTGGCCCCGAGTGGGGACGGCAGGGGACATGCCCCGTGTGCTTTTCCCCAGGGCGAGTCAGATGACTCCATCCTCCGACTGGCCAAGGCCGACAGCATCGTCTCAAAGTAAGGGGGTGGGGCCCAGGGGGGCTCAGAGGCTGGGACTCCCCCCCCCCCAGAGCTGAGGCTTTACTATGGTTCTTTCTCTCGTTTAGGAACTTCTGACTGCAGAGCATCACAAATGTGAGATTTTCCACAAATAAACAATGAAACTCCCCGTGTTGGTTCCCTCTGTGCTGGTGGGCGCGCCTCGGGCTCCGCAGGGCCAGGGCTGACACCGAGCTGTGAGTGGCCCACAGGCGGCCAGCCACAGAAAGGAGACAGTCTGTGAAATGTGCTGCGAAACCACGTTTTACTCATGAGCACAAATACAAACACCTGTGACGTGACTCGGTATTGAGGTCAGATAGTTGCTTAACATCCATTGAAAATCCACAACTGCTACTGGGAGCCGACGGGGGGCCCGCGGCCCTTGACACCCCTCAGGTGCCCGGGCTTGCTCTAGAGGATGGCGTTCGGCTGAGGTCTGGCTGGAACCTTGGCTTCGCTGCAGGGACTCCTGAGCGCCACACAGTGGCGGCTCGGTGCTACCAGAAGGGACACGGATACGGGTGGGGAGGGCAGACAGGGTCGACAAACGACTGGATCTTACGACATAAATAGGCAAACTTAAGTTATGGCATTGGTCAGCGGCTCTACAGCTGTACAGAAACCACTGGGCGGGTGGGTTCCTTGAGGCTGAGTTGTAAACCAGGACTTTCGGGGCGACAGTGCTTGTAACACAGACGTGTCCTTGAGATGCTATGGGGGCCCGGCAGGTTGCTCTCCTGGGGCCTAGCAGCTGGCACCTTCCTTCCACCTCAGCTTGGGCCCAGGACGGGGGGTCGGGGGGGGGGAGCGAGGCCAGTTGGGGTGCAGATGTGGGCTCGGTCCTCCATTCCTTCCCCAGGAGTGGGAGAGGGGGCGGGCCTGCGGGGGGCTGGTGGTGCCCCCCCACCGGGGTCCAGGCCGAGTTGCTGGTGGCTGGGTGCTGTCGTGAGCACAGTGGGCCTTTCTGTAAAGGGTGCGGGGCAGGGGCCGGCCCAGAACCCCCTCGGCGACAGGTTTGTGGCGTGCTGGCGAAGCAGTCCGATGGCCCAGGCGGTGTGGCCGTTTCCCAGATGGGCGCCTTTGCCAGTCCTTGGTTCTTAGTGTTCTGGGCCGGGTGGCGAGCCGGGGAATGACGTCACAGCTCATGCAAGGACGATGCAGGCCTGCAAAGCCGAACATGGTCACGCTGGCATGGCCCAGGCTGGCTCGGGAGTGACAGTCACCTCCCAGTCTTCTCCCCACGTGGGGGTCAAGTGTAGTTTCAGGTCAGCTTCGCACGCCTTGGTCGACCAGCCTTTGTTCCCTCCGGAAAAAGACCCCCCCAGGCAGGGTCCCACGTGACGATGAATAGGCTGCTTTCCTGCCACGGTGCTGCCTAGATCAGGAGCCAGCCGTGCAGCGGTCACCTGAAGGTCCGGTGCCACAGCCCAGTGGTGCTCTCCTGGCGGGCAGCGTCCGTGTGGGGTGGACACGTGTGCCAAGGCCTGTCGGGGTACGGCGTGACACGTGGGCAGCAGGGCTTCGTGGTGACCCGATGCCTGGGAGAGCAGAGGCCCGAGAAGACAAGTGGTCAACAGGAACAAGAGTTCGCTCTTGCTGGCCTGACGGACTCCAGGGCTGTGTGGGTGTGTACGGGCCGGGCGGCTGGACTGGAGCCGGGCCATAGGGTGGGGTTGTGTCCACAGCACTGTGTTCACACCAAGCCCCAGACAGTCAGGATTAATGCTTCATCACGTAACCGCAGCGACCTCAGTGTGTCCAGCATCAGGCCGCCCAGGTGGCGAGGCCGGGCCTGTGCAGAGGGCTGTGACCCTGCGTGGGAGGCCAGGCAGTGCAGAGATGGGGACATAGGCCGTGACGTTAAATCTGAGGTCCTGGTGCGGGACCAGCCTCAGGCCCGGGAGGACGCCTGTGCCCCACACTGTGTCCATGTGAGCGCGCAGGAACACTCGGGAACGCCAGGGAGGCGCGCTGCGTCTGGGAATGAGCCACGCCCCCAGGAAAGCGAGCGTGTGTAGGCGGGGCCTGGCGCCCCTGCCCGGGGGCAGTGGGACCGGAGTGCACCTCCCGGCCTGGGCACAGCCCGTGGGGCCCACAGTGGGGGTGCGCCGAGTGGGGTGGGCGGCAGGGGTGGTCTGTGCAGCGCCCCCCGCTAGAACTGCTGCGTGAGGCGTCTGTAATGAGGTAACACCTGGTTCTCGGGGAGATAGAGAGCAAGTTCCAAGGCCACGAGCACTGTGAACTCGAACCCGATTAGGTCCCGTCTGTTGAACCGAAACCTTTCTTCCAGCTTCTGCGTTGAAGGAGAGAGAAGGGTTCAGTGTGGCCCCCGCTCTGGTTCCCACCTAAGTCAGCGGGTGGGGAGTGGGCGACGACCACCGCCCCCAAGGGGCAGTGCTCAGCGATCAAACGGGAGCTGGGGTGAGGACGAGGAGCGGACCTGGGAGGGGGCGTGGCCAGCTGGGGGCGTGGCCAGGGCGGGCGGGTGGGCGCGCACACTCACGTCGATGAGCTGCTTCACTTCGCTCTTGCGGAGGTCGCTGCTGATCTTGGCAGCCAGCAGCACGCACGCGCCGGCGCACAGCTTGCGGTTCTGCTTGTTGAGCTTGCCCTGCAGGACGAGCTTCTCGAAGTACACGTAGGCCATGGACACGGTCCCGGGCTCCAGGCTGCACTCCTCAGAGAGGCTCCGCATCTCCCGTTTCAAACTGCGGGTTCACACGGGACTCAGGCGGTCTCCCTTAGAGCAGCAGCTCGTCCCGCCCCGTTCTGCAAGGGCCACCGCGGAGGGCAGAGGGCGGAGAGCGCAGTGCCTGCTGTCCTGTGGCTGCGCGGCGGCGGGTCACCACAAGGGCACAGGCGCCGAGACGTGGGTGTGCTGAGGTGGCCCTCGGACCACCCTGGGAGCCTCGGCGCTGCGGGGGCTGCCGGGGCAGGTGTCAGTGGGAGCCGGCGGGGCAGGGCCCGGCGGAGGGCAGTGGCCGGGAGCCCGGCTTCGGCCCACAGCTCTGGCAGCTGCCCGCTGCGGGGGCTCAGTGGGCGTGGGCAGCTGCCGGAAGCAAAGAGATGGCCTGGCCGCAGGCAGCACGCGTGTGTGTGCACGTGTGTGCGTGTGTGTGCACGTGTGCCCAGGTGTTGTCGGCGGGGCGGGGGCGGGGGGCCCCTGGGTCTGTCAGGCTCCGGCCGGTGCAGGAAATGGGGAGGCGTGCTGCCGCCGCAGCAGCAGCAGAAGGGGGTTCGGAGGTGTCCGGGGTGTGGGGGGGGGGCGGCCCCTACCTCCTGATCTTGCTCAGCGTCAGCCTGACGTGCGGGAACTTCTCCCGGAACGTCTCGTTCATGTCCTTCTTGAGGTCGGAGGGCTTCACGTACTCGATCACCGTCGTCTGCAACACAGGGCAGGGGGCTGGGCAGGGGGCTGGGCAGGGGGCTGGGCCGGCCGCTGCTCGGCCGCTTCCCGCCGGCGCCGTGCCTTCCGCGGGGCCCCGGGTCCGGGAGAACGGCTCCCCCCCGGGCGGCGGCCGCGCTCACGTACCATGTAGGAGGCGAAGATGAGGACGCGCTTGTGCTTGCCGCAGGGCCACTGCGGGTCGTCCAGCAGGTTGGGGTTGTACTCCAGGGCGTCCCCCGCGTCGCTGCCTGCGGGCGGGAGGCAGCCCTGACCCAGCGCCCCGACCCGGGGGCGGGCGCCCTGCTCCTGCCTGCGGTCACACTGGGCAGGGGGTCCTAGGCCAGGTCCCACGGGGCTTGGGAGGGGCTCCCAGCACTGGAGGAGTGGAAGGGCGACCTGATGGGAACGCCCCGGCCTCCAGAGCCGTCTGCGGTTGCGGCTGCTCCCCACCGCCTGGCTGCTCTGCGAAGAGCCCCTTCTGTCCCGAAAGGCCACGCCCCAGCCCCAGGCCCCAGGCCCAGGCCCCAGCCCCAGTCCCAGCCCCAGCCCCAGGCCCGCCTCTGTTTGGACGGAGAGCTGTGGGTTCAACGCGACTCTGCTCTGCTGCCACCGGGGGGCGCCCGCGCGCCGGCCAGGGTACCTAGCTCTGTGCTGGTGGGCGGGGGCTTGGCGGCAGCAGGCTTGTACCGGGACGCCGGCAGGGCCCGGGGCACGCTGGGCCGGGGCTGCGGCGGGGGGCCGTGGCCGTCTGTCTTCTGCGTGACCAGGGCATTGGTGGGGTACAGGAACTTGGCGTAAGACACCACCTGGGGAGGTGAGCGCATCAGCGGCGGTCCTGCCCCTCCTCGCTGCTGCCCCTCCAACGCACCCCGCAACCCGGCTCAGGCCGGAGCTGGTGCTGCTCGCCTGACCCTCAGCCTTCTCGGTGACAAGAACATTCTAGACTGTCGCCCCTGCCAGCCCTCGTCTGGGCCTGTGACACGGGCACACTCTCCCCGCCTCCGACACCCTTGCCTCCAACCCCCCTGAGTCCAGGGGCCCGCTGGCATGGGGGGCAGCCCACTGCCCCAGCCCCTGGCACTGAGAGGACCAGAGGGGAGCACCCACCCACGCACTCCTGCCCCCTCCCGGGACCTGAGCCCCGCCCCTGCCCGGCTGTGTGCGGCGCCAGCTCTTGCCTTTCCGTCGGCCCCCAGCTCCACTCCTTCCAGCTCAAACACCATCTCGGAGGAGACCGACACGCCGCCTGACGGGTGCCTCTGCTTCTGGCTGTCCACCCGCAGGTCGCTGCAGCGCACAGCACAGGGAGCTGTGGTGGGCCCTCCCCTGCCCCTCCCCTCCGGTGGGCGGGGCAGAGCCTCCCCTCCCCCGGCACCCCCCCACCCCCAGTCTCGAGGGCAGGTGCCACAGCGCCCGTGTTGGAGAGCGGCCGCGGCGCTGGCGGTGCTGGGGACGTGGGCGAGGACGCCTGCTGTAAGCTGCCCGGCCGCACCCCTTCCCCAGGCCGGGCGCTTCCTTTAAAGCATCGGTGGCAGCGACGCGGCCCCGCAGCCCGGGCCCCAGCCTCACCCACGGCTGCGCTCCAGGGGTGCCCCCTACGCTGCAGTCACACTGGGCGGAAGGTTTCCACGCCAGGTCCCAGGCGCCATCCCCTGGGCGGCTGTCCCCTTCTTCCTGGGTCACACAGAGGACACAACTACCTGGCCGGACCACGAGGACACACGGCAGTGTCCCCTGGAGAGGAGCACCCCTGCGCTGACCTTCAGGCAGCCCAGACAGAAGCGAGGAGCGTCAGGCCCCTCCCCAGGGAGCCAGGAGACGGCCCTCTGCGGCACATCTGCCGCGAAGCCCGGCCACTCACCTGACCCGCAGGCCCTCCCCGTAGGGCAGGACGGAGAAGGCGGCGCACAGGGAGCGCTTGGCGCAGATGAGCACGATCCTGTGGGGAGGGGGAGGGGGAGGGCGCCGGTCAGAGCGGCGGGGGGGCGGCGGGGGGCTCTCCCGGGCCGGGGCCAGTGGGTCTGAGCCGCCCCAGCGCTCACTGCTCCCCCACAGGTAGCACACGGCACGCGGAGGGTCCTGCCCGGCCCCCGCGGCAGGGCCCAGGCTGGAGGCCGGGACCCTGGTTCCCACGGTCAGGTGTTGGCAGATGCACAAGGCAAAGGGGAGTGCCCACCAGGCCGCTGGGTCTGGGGAGCCCCTCCTCAGCCGTCCTGGGGAGGCAGGGCCTGAGAGTGTCAGGAAACACCTCACCCCCCGAACCCCCGTGGCTGCAAGGGGCCCTGGCACAGGAGTGCGCAAGGCAGGGGCAGCCCTTGCCCAACTGGGAACGGCTCTGCTCGGTGAGGCCCCGGCCTGGCAGGGAGGATGACAGCTGGGCTCCCCTCACGTCTGGGATGCCTGCCCATCGAGTGCCCACTGAGGCCGGCTGGCCTGTCAGGCATGCCCGGGCCCACGCCCCTCAGCCCCAGACCCAGCCTGTCGTGCTGGGCGGTCCGGGGCCGTCCGACCACGGCTACTGCTGGGAAGGGGGTACGGCTGGCAGCCATCCGGCCCACTGAAGGGTGGCCCTGCCCTGGGGATGCCGCCGGGCTGGGGCTTTAGTTCGGCCCCTCCCCTGCGTGTCCGGATGAACCCGGCCCTCTGTCCTGCGCGCATCTGCCTGTGCTCTCGCCCCTTCCTTCTGCGCCTGCGCTCATCTGCCATCCCTGGGGCTCCGGGGACGGCCAGGGCAGGGGGCTGCGATGGACCGGCGCTGGGCTGACGTGGGGGCAGGGGCGGGCGGCCCCACGCAGCCGCACCCGCTGTTCCTGGTGTCCCACCTGCTGTTCCTGGTGTCGTACTGCCGCATGTTCTTGATGAAGTGGGTCTTCTTCAGGCCCTTGTGTCTGGGGGAGCCGGGCACGTGCTTGGTCCTGCGGGCGAGACACAGGTCACCTGTCCCTCCCACGCCCCCTCTGGCCCCTGGGGCAAGTGCGCAGGGCCACAGAGCTCTGGCGGGCAGCAGGCGGGACCTTTACCTTGGAACCGAGGGACATCCCACCGTGTCTTCCAGGAACTCGAGGGAGCAGCGCTGGGAGGCGACTCGCCTCCTGTGGAGAAGACACGGCAGGGCTCAGCGCGGAGACCGGGGTGGGCAGGGCAGACCGGGCAGGGGCTCGCGCTGCAGTGGCGCCCAGCCAGGATGGGGGCCGGGGGGAGGGGCACAGCCAGGCCTCTGCAGGTGGGGCGCTGGCTGCCCACTCCAGGGGCAGCAGGGGAGGTCTGCTGGGCAGATGCCCGCGTCCTGAGGCCCTGGGTGGGTGCTGTGGAGGGGGCCAAGGCCAGCCCTGCCCTGAGAGTGGATGTCCAGCTGGAGTGACCTCCAGGACTTGTACCGGGAAAGGGAGCCGCCTGGTGGGAGGGGATATCCCTGCAGGCGTCTGCGGCTGCGCCTGGCCTGCCCCGAGGGCGAGGCCCCCAGGCCCCAGGAGCAGCCCCAGGGGCAGCCCCTCGGGGCTGCCCCAGCTCATTTCCTCAGGCAATTTCCCAGGTGGTGCCAATGGCAGGTGCACGCCTGGGGCTTTGTCTGTGAGCCCGGGCCGGCGGCGGTCCCCACAGAGACGCGGGCGGTGCTGCCCCGCCCACCGAGCATGGCCCTGAGGCCCAGCAGCACCCGCTCGGCAGGGACGGAGCCGCCTGTGGCCCCGCTCGGAAAAGCTGCTCCCCGTGGGCTGGGCAGACTCCTGTCTGTGACGTTCTTCCACCTTCCCTTCCTTGTGAGTGTTCTGTAGACACACTGGATCCTCCCAACAGCTCCCCCGGGGAGGCCGTGTTACCACCCTCCGTTCACACGCTGGTGGGGAGACCGAGGCACAGAGCTGGGGAGTGGAGCTGGGCCCCCCCACCCCCCCCCCCACACGACTCTGCAGCCCAGATGCCGGCCGGCCCCCCCCGCACTGCTGGGGCCGGCGCTCCTTCCGGATGCGCTGCGCCGGCAGCCCAGCAGAGACGTCGCGGCACAGCAGATGCTGCCTGTGGCGTCCAGGAAACGCCCCTCACCTTGTAACTGAGAACACCCTGCCCGGGGGCTCCCGACACCCACGGCCGGTGAGGGGGCCGGGGAAGGTGCTGCTGCACCTGGGGCAGGCCACCTGAGAACGGCGGCCCCACCGAAGCGGCTGCTCTTCGTCAGGCGCCCGACAGGTGCCAGTGACTTTGAACCCTCCCTGGAGCCCCTGGAGGGCGCGGGGCCCCGCCCACACCCCAACCTGACTAGTGACCTTGTAGACCACTGCAGGCCACCCCATGCGGGGCTCTGTCCGGCAGCCCACTCCCAGGATAGGGGACAAGGGGGGAGGGGACAGAAGCACCGTGACACGGCACCGGGCGGGCCGGGGGGCTCCTGGCAGCCTGGTCTGACCCAGTCGGCAGCCCAGGCCCCGGGGTGCTCACGCGCGTTGGTGCCGAACTGAACGTCAACACCGCGTTCGCAGTCCTCAGAGGGAAACGAGGGTCTCGGGGGCTCCCTGCCGTGGGCTGAGCCCCGTGCAGCCTGACTGCCACCAGGGTCTCCTGTCACCTGGCCGCGGCCATCCTCGCTAAGCCCTGGACGTCCACCTGGCCTCACGACGGCCCCCAAGCAGGCTGCGCTCCACGCGAGCCCACCCCGTGGAGGAGAAAACTGAGGCTCAGAGAGGCCATGCCACCGGCTCGAGGTCACAGAGCCGCTGGGTGGTGGGGCGGGGGCTCGTCCGCGGCTGTTCCCACAGCCTGGGCCCTGGCAGGACACCAGGACATGGGGTCTGGGAAAGGGCCTCGGAGTCCTCTCCGCTTCCAAAACACAACAGCGGGTCCTCGAGGTCTGAAGCCGGGAGCCGGCAGCCCCCTCGCTGAGGCTGGCCGCCCCCACCCGCTGGGCGGCGACCCCCTGCCCGGGCCCGGGGAGCGCGGAGGGAAACCAGCAGTCCGTTTTGCCCTGTGGTCGGTGGGGGCTGCGCGGCGATGCCCAGGCAGGAGGGCGGGGCCCCAGGAGGGCAGGAAGGGCACCTGGACCGGGACTCGAAGGCCACGCAGGAGGGAGAGGCGAGGGGTGGAGGGACACAGGGCACCCGACTCCAGCCACACCCCGCCCTGTCTCAGTTCCCCCCGAGCGCGGGCCTGCCCCACGCCCTCTTCGGAACCGGGCGGTGGAGCCCCAACCCCACTGGGCTCCGGGCACTCCCCGTGGCCGCCCCCCGGAGCCCCTCCCACCAGCGCAGCTCCAGGGCCCAGCCGCTGTCCTGGGCACAGGGTCTGTCTCGCAGATCCCCCACACGGCGCCTGGCCCTCCCAGGACTCTCACCGCCAGAGGGGAGCGAAGCTGCACCTGCGAGGTGCTGTGGGTGCGGCCCGCCCGGCCGGAAGACCCCGGGACCCCCGAGGGTCGGGGCTGGAGGGGGCGATGCCGGTGCCGCCCAGATGACTCCCACGTGAGAGGCTGTGCCTGGACTCCAGGGCCAGCCTCAGAGGCTGCCCACTGCCCGGCAGCTCTGTGCTGCGGACTGAAGGCCAAGCAGGGGCCGTGACGAGCAGGCGGTCCCCGTGCCCAGGTGCAGGAAACCTGTCACTCCTCGGGGTGAGGGCTGTGGGCGGGGCTTACCCCAGGGCCACCCCAGGGCCCAGAGGTAGGGGCCAAGGAGGCAGGGCCACTGGACGCTGCCACTCTGCTTCTGGGAGATGGAAGCGGGCGTCTGGCTCCCAGGGGCTGTGGGCAGGGGCACAGACCGCAGGGGCTGAGCTTGGGGTAGTGGGCGCAGCTCCAGGACGTCCGAGGGGTTCCTGGAGATGGACTCAGGGCCGAGGAGTAACTGCCGGCCAGGACGTGCCAGGACCAGGGGCGCAGAGCTCAGAGGGGGCCGTGGGACGGGGGCAGCACAGAGGTGACGGGCCACCAGTGCCGGGGCAGCCTTGGTGCAGGGGGTGATGGTCTCTGCAGGAGACGTGGGGGCCAGCTGTCCTTCCCGTGCAGGGACCCCTGGTCCGCAGGGAGGGGCGCCTGGAGCAGAGAGCCCAGGGCACAGGGGAGGCGCCTGGGAGCCTGTGTCCTCTGTCGGGCACTGGGGAGGTGGGCTGGGAGGGGCGTCCCAGGACTGCGGCTGGGCCTGGGGGCCGGCGGCGCTGAGCAAACCCACGTTCAGGGCACTGACAAGGTTGAGAGCTCCGAGACCCCATGGTCAGCCGCCGGCAGGACTGGGGGCCATGACCCCGGTGCCTGGGGACCCACAGGGTCGGAGGGAGCCCCAACACCGTGTCCAGGGGTTGGCCGAGCCCCGGAAGACCCGGCCCTGCCATCCCAACCCTGTGCCTGGGGCTCACAGAAGGTCAGGGTCACCTCCTGCACCCCGACCTGGCGTCATGGGCGGGGGGACCCCGGATGACCCCGCTCCCTAAATCCTGTGCAGGGGGGCCGCAGGCCCCACCCCAGACTGCCGGCCCCAAGTCCCCGGGTCCCCGCATCCCCGCCCGCCCCCCACTCACCTGTGGCGCTGCGGGTCCAGGCCGAGGCCGGCGGGCGCGGGCGCCGGGCTGAGCAGGCCCTGGGGCGCCGAGGCCCTGTTCCCGGTTCCGGGCGGGCCCGGCGGGGCGGGGGGCGCGGTCTCGGGCCCCGGGGGCGGCGGCGGCGCCGGCGGCTCGCGGGCCTCGGCGGGCGGCGGCGGCGGCGGCGGCGGCTTCTCGCCGACCGGGCCCAGGCTTGGGGGCCGCCCGTCCAGGGAGATGTTGTTGAGGAAGAAGAGCGCGGCCTGTCGGCGCCGCGAGTCCCCGCGCCTCCGCAGCGCCTGCGGCGGGGCCCTGGCTGCAGGACCCGGGCCGGAGCCGGGGCCGGGGGCCGGGCCCGGGGCCCCACCCGCCGCCGCCGCGGCCATCCTCTAACTGAGCCCGCGGGCGGCCCGCCGCCGCCGGCGCGCAAGCGCCTGGGACAGCCGCTCATTGGTCGCGGCGCGCCCTCATGCAAATATACCTCCGTCGCGCTCGGCAATTGGTCAGCATGGAGCCGTGGGCGGGCCGCCGAGCTCGGGGGGCGGCTCCCCTGGGTCACGGAGGTGGTGTCCCTGCGCCCCGAGGGCCCGCGCCCGGTCTGCTAGCCCGCGTTTCCGCCGGGCCTGGCCCGGGGCCAAGCGACGACCGGGCCACGAGTTCGAGTCCCCGCTCGGAAGCCGGGCTCTTGCTGGGCTGCGGCGTTCGGGATCGCTCCGTCGAGACTGCGTCTTCAGGCTCCAGCGCACTTCCCCTGCGGGGGTGTGCCCCGCAGGGCCTGTAGCTGTGTCACCTGCCGTGTGCGAGGCCCTTCAGTGTGCACACTAGACAGTCTTCGCCGAGGATCCCCGGGCTCCCGGAACGGCTGTGCGGCACCGCAGCGGTGCCACCAGGGCTCCCTCCTTAACTGAGGAAGAGACAGCGGGTCTGTGGACAGGAGGGTCTGGGAGGGCTGGCGGGGCGGGGCCGTCCTACCCCTCCCCCAGCAGCCGAGCGATCTAGGCCTCAGTGTCCTCTTCTGCACCCGCGTCCCTCTGGCGTCAGAGCGGTGGCTTCAGTCCCAGGTGCTGCCTTCGGGTGGGGACAGCGATTTCAACCCCAGATGCAGTCGGGAAGGCGCTGGCTCCGCAGGGGGCGTTGCCAGCGCGGTCCGCCCTGGGCTGGAAGCCGGCGTTCGCCGCTTGGTTATGCGGCTCAGCAATGCCCCTGCACGCGCTGCCCGTCGCCCCGGGGCCATGGTCTGCGGGCACCAGGAAAATGGGCGGCGCGCCTCGGGTCGCGAGGTGTATGAAGGTCATCGCCATCACCGTCGTCAGTCAGGGCCCGGCTCCACGGCCGCTCCCTTCGGACCCTCACCCCCCTTTCGCCCGGGCATGTCCCCTGGTGACCTTCATTGGCCAGCACAGTGAGGCTCGCTCAGTGCCCAGCCTGTCCTCTTACCTTTCCCGCCGCCCCTCCAAATTGCCCACAACCCTTCACCACCCAGGCCTGCGAATCGGATGTTCTTTTATTTGATTTTGGGAAAATCAATGCCACCTTCAGCAGCTGGGAGATTTCAGGCACTCGTGGACCCCCCTCCCCCGCCACCCCAGACTACTCTCTTGGGAATTTAGTCTCTGTGGCCACTTGGAGTGAAGTGGGGAGCAGTGCCCCCATGAGTCGGCCTGCTGCCCCAGCTTGCCCAGGCCAGTCACCGCTCCATGTCCTGTGTCTGTCCTGGACTGGGGGGGGGGCAGAAAGTCCTGGGGGCTGAGGGTGGAGCACTGGGTGGGCTGCCCGGCAGCATCAGTGGCAGATGCGGGGCCAGGGACTGGGGGTGTCTATGAGGAGCAGCTGTGTGGGGGCCGATGCCCATTCTCAGTGCCGTTCCCCACCGTCCCCAGAGGGCACCCTGTCCCTGTAGCGCCCTGCTGGTTTTGATCCTGCTCTCCTGTAAGGGAGTGAGTGACCTCCCTGGCCCTGGACGCACTCGAGAGTCACCTGTGCCAGCTGCCCCCTACCTTGCTCGTCACACATGCCACCTTCTTTGCACCGTCATTCTCCCAGCGCCCCCTGGGGGCCCTCTCTGCAGAGGCACCGCCCCCCGCCCCCCTAAACTCCCAGAGTCTGTTTGTGGGACTCCGCCACCAGGGGGCGTCCAAGACCGCCACTTGCACCTCGGTGCCCGCGAGGAAGGGAAGCCGGGAGCGCGGGGCCAGCAGGGTCTGGGCTGGTAGGAGGGGCTGGGTGACAGGGCGCTGCCCAGCAGGGAGTGTCTGTGCGCTGCGGTGGTAGGGCTGGGCTGGGCTGGGGCCCGAGCGTCCCTGCCGCTGGCACCTTCGAGCCCCTGCTCTGGAGAGGGTGGGATGGCAGGTCCAGAGGCCATTCTTGGGAGGAGTGTGATGGAGGGGTTCGAAAGACCACCCAAAGGCTCCCTCTCGGGCTTCCCAGCTCCCGTGCCCACCGTGAGGACCCAGGCCCCTTCCCCCTGGACCGGGCTGTGCTGGCAGTGGGAGCTGTCCCGGCTTCGGGCAGTCAGGTGGGTGGGCCGTGGTGCCCTGTCCGAAGCACTGTGGGTCTCCCCCGGCCGCTGCTGCCAGACGAGGGGCCCTCGTCCTCAGGGTCCGGGGCTCCCGGGCCCCCGGCCGAGTCAGGGGCCTTCCTGGAGTTCCTTCTGCCTCAGGACAGCTTCTTGGGGCCTGAGGGGAGCGGCCTGAGGTTAGGCTTGGACACCCAGCGCTGGCCTCACATGTCCTCCCTTGACATGACACTGGGCTCCCCCCAGGGCCTTGAGGGCAGTCTCTGGACACGGCCACCCGAGAGCCCACCCCGGCAGGGGTGACTTGTCATGACACCAGCAGACACTGGAGCCACGGGATCCTGACCGGGCCGACAGTGAGCCCTGCGCGTCTGCCGGGAGAGTGGAACCCCTCCCCCGCTGTGTGACCCGGAGGCCGGCCAGGCTGCCCAGGGCCCCCCTCGCTGCCTCACGGAGGGCAGGGCACGTGCTGGATACCCCAGGCCGAGGGGCAGCCACTCCCAGACCCCCTGAGACACTGGCTGGGTGCCTCCACAGGCCTGCCGTCGGGCTGGGGCCGCGGGGCAGGCACTGGCCCAGGACCCGGCAGGGGCGTGGCTGCAGGCACATCTCTGATGCCGAACGAGACTCAGACCTGCGTCAAACCTGCCAGGGTTCTGATCCTCTGCACCTGCTTTGTGACCTTGGGCAAGGCGCTGCCCCTCTCTGTGCCTCAGTTTCCCCACCAATGAGACAGGAGCCCACCGCTGTCCAGGCCCAGGGGCGGTGTGAGTGGACGCCACTGGCACCGCCCCGGGGGCGTGAGCTGCAAGCGTGCTGCCCCTGTGCCGAGCCGTGCAGTGCCCTGCCTGGCGCTCAGCGGGGCCAGCCACATGCCGGGCCAGGGCCCTGTTCTCACCGACCGCCAGTGTGGGTGCTGGGGGGCGCCGGTGCCTGTGGGGGAGCCCCAGGGCCAGCTGCTGGGGGGAGGACGGGGAGGCTCAGAGTGCAGGGTGGGGCAGGACCTGAGTGCCCCCGAGGGCCACGCCTACCAGGACGGTTTCCAAACAGTGCCCAGCAGGAAGTGCCTGGAAATCAGACAGGTGCGCCGCCCCCCCCCCACCCCCCCGCCACCTCCAGCCTGGCAAACACAGGCCTTGGCCACCTGCGTGGCAACAACGGCACCTTGTGGCAGCCGGGGCCCGGCCGGCCTCGGAGCAGACCCGCCCGCGCAGACAGCCGGGCGGCGTCCGGTGTCAGCCCAGGCGTGCTCGGGCTCTCTCGGGCTCCTGGGGCCTGGCCTGAGCTGCCTCTGTGGCCAGGGGCGGACATGGGGCAGTCCTGATGCCGGCCCACAGGCTGGGCTCCTGCTTCCACTGCCCTGTGGGGCGGGGCTGGGCCCGCAGGAGCCGCCCTCGGCAAACACTTGAGCAGCCCCACCCCCACCCCCACCCCCGTCCCCGGCGGGAGCAAGTGCGCCCTGCGCCCTGGGTTCTTCGAAGGTGGCCCTACCCCTCCAGGGTGGGGGGACTGGCCGGGCTGGCAGCGAGGGGGAGGTGGGCCGGGAACCCCCCCGGGCCCCGCCCGGCCCCTCCTGTTAAGGGAGAGCCTGCTGGGGGGGTGCTGGAGGGGGTGGGGGGGTACCAAGGGCTGGTTTCTGGGCTCCCATCAGTCTGAGGAGGCCATTCCCCCAGCGCCCAGAAAGGTGGGGTGGAGGTGCTGCGGCTGTGGCGACTGCTCATCCTCCCTGACCCCTCACCCGCCCTTGGCCACTGACCTTTGTCCCGCGGGTCAGAGGACGGGGCCTGCTTCCTCTTCGGGGGCCGGCCCTGCCGGGGCTCCGCGGTGCAGAAGCACCTGGCCGCCTTCGCCCGTGTGCTTGGCGAGGCCTCCTCGGGGCTCAGTCCCCCCTGGCAGGGAGGGGTGTGGTCAGGGCTCGGGTCCCCCCCCCCCACCTTGAGCCTGGGGCAGCCCTGGCTGAGGGGGGAGCCCACGTAAGCCCGGGACCCACCTCATCGTCGGAGGCATCAGGAGTGTGCGGCTCCTCCGGCTCGTCTGGCGCCGGCGGCGGCTGCGCCTCGGGCTTGCTGGGCTCTGCGGGGTGCAGGGTGGGGGTCAGGCCAGGCGGGTGGCCTGGGGCCCAGCGGCAGCAGGGCCCTCTCTGGCCGACTGGCCCAGGAGGAGTGAGTGGCAGCCACTGTGCGGGTGAGGAAACTGAGGCACAGAGGAGCGTGGCTCCAGTGCCTGTACCATGACCCCACCAGTGGGGGTGTCCCCTGGCCCCGCTGCTGTGCAATGCGGCGCCCACCTCCTGCCCCCAGGCCCTAGCTGCTGGACGCCCTTCCCTTCACAGCCTGTGGTCAGAGGCGTGCCTGCCCTGACCCCCCAACTCTTTTCCAGCTTTGCCTGTGGGGGACCCAGGGTTTGGTCCGGCGGGCCCCGGGAGGGCTGAGCTGGGCCCCGGGACACGCCTCCCTCCCGCTGACTTTGACCACGGCGTCTCCCTCCCCTCCCGTGGCCCCGCTGCTGGGTCCCCGTGGGCGCAGCCTTACCCGGGGGGCCCCCGGCGTCGGGCCTCTGTGGGTGTGGGGACGGTTTGGGCCTCTCTCTGGACTCACCTCCGGGCCTACCCGGAGACAGCAGGCTGGGCTGGGGCCCCGGGAGAGGCTGTGGGGGTTCCTGGGGGGAAGCGAGGTAGTGGTTTGGGCTCCTTTGAGTTCACTTGGGCGCAACCCGTGGGCCCTGGCCTGGGTGCAGCCGGGGGCTCGGCCAGGCTGCCGGGCGCCCGGAACGGCTGACGGCCTGGGTGCGGGCCCTCGGAGGTGGGAACAGGGCGGGGACTCACCTCGGGGGTGCGAGGTTCTTCCGGCTCCGGTGCTCTGGTCCCCTTGGTGCCGTTGCTGTGTCCCCAAGGCCCAGACTGGGCAGGGGGCTCCGCTCCCTGGGGGGGCTCAGGACTGGGGGTGCGCGCAGTTTGGGGGCTGAGTGACCCTGGCCGGCCCGTGGACTTGAGGGCGTCCCGGCCCCGGCCCCACTCCGAGAGGTCCAGGGGCTTGTCTGGAACGTGGTCCTGCACGGTCCTGGCCTCCTTCGCCCTGGGGCTGCTGGAGCCCGTGGGCCGTGGGTGCCGCTTCCCGGGCAGGGCTGCCCTGGCCACCTCGCCCTCCGGCCCCTCCGAGTCCGACCCGACGGGGGGGGAGGGCAGTGTCTCCCCTGGCCTGTGGGGGCCCCTCGGCCTGGCCCCGTCAGCCTGGCCCTGCGCCCGCAGCTGCTGGGCCAGGAGCAGGCTCAGGGCCCCCTGCAGCCGCTGGCCCACCAGGGGGCCCGACAGGCCCAGCAGGCCCGGGGGCTCCTCCCAGGCCTCCTCCTCTCCGGCCTTCGGGCCCCGGGGGGCTGTGGCGGGGTCCCGGGGGCTGCTGTGGCAGCTCCGCAGGTGCAGGGACAGGCGGTGGCTCAGGAGACAGAGGCGGTCAGCCTGGAGGGAGTGCTTCAGGGACTCGTAGGTCACGGCGGAGGGCCGGGGGGCCCTCGGGAAGCTGGAGAGTGGGGAGGAAGAAACCCAATCACAGGGGCCACAGTCAACTGCCAGGTCACAGGGGAGGACTTGGGGCCCAGGGAGGTGAGGAGAGCTGCTGCCCAGGTCACTGGGTGGGTAGGGGAGAGGGCGGGTGGGAGAGGAGAGGGTGGGTTCCTGCCCCCCCATGCCATCCCCACCCTGGAGGCCGGGCCGTGGGGCTGCCTGGCCAGCGGAGACTGGAGTGTGGGGTCGAGGCCTCTCCTTATGGGCATCAGCTCCCTGGCTCACCTGGCGGGCCCAGCCCCACCTCCTCCCCGCGGGTCCCCTGCCCCACCCTGGGAGGTGTTCAGGAGGTGCCCCCTGGGAACTCTGCGGTGGGTGGGGGACCCGGAAAGCCACGTTTCAGAAGGGCAGAGCCCCTCCTGGGCCGTGGACCCCTCCCCAGTGCGGGCCGGACCAGAGACTGGGGCTCGGCTGAGGCCGCCACCCCCCGCGATGGCTGTGGGCGGGGCCGCACCTGTCCAGGGGCAGGCCGCGCTCGTAAGGCGGGCTGGGTGGGCCGCCGAGGGCGGGGGGCGTCCCGTTGGCGGAGCCCCGGTCGGCGGAGCAGGCCCGGGCGCCCGGCCGCACCACGGCGATGGTCCCGTGAAGCTGGTTGGAGATCCGCTGGGGACTCTGCACAGACGGTGGGGGGTGGGGGCGTGGCAGTTAGCGGGGCGGGGGGGTGGTGGCGGCCGTGGCCTCTGCCTCTGCTCTCCGCGCGACCTTGGGCAGGGCACCCGCCGTCCTGCGACGTGCCGCCTCCCCCGTCAGATGGAGCCGGGCGGTCCCGGTGTGGCAGAGAGGGCGGGCACGTGGCACGTGGCACTCGGGGCGGGGGTCCCTGGCGCTCACCACGTCTGGGGCCCTCGGCTCGGCAGGGTTGGCACTCGGGGAGATTTTGGCCCCTGGAGACGCCCGGTACACCAGCTTCTCTGCGGGAGGAAAAGCGGAGGCGGAGAGACCAGGTGGTGAGGTGGCCCCCCCGTCCCCGCTCCCCCTGCCCCAGCACCTCGGCCCATCGGGCCAGCGCTGCCCACCCGTCTGTGGCGCACACCTGGGGGGTGGTCCTCCACTTCCTCTCCAGGCAGCTTCTCTTCGGTGGCCTTGCGGGCGCCTGGGGAGATGCACGGCGGGGGCGAGGTGGTGTCTGGGGTGCCCTCTCTGCACGGGGGCTTGGGCCTGTGTCCCGAGGGGAGGGTGAGGGCAGTGCCCCCAGAGACAATCAGAAAGGGTAAGGTGCCATTCTGGGGTCCCTGCCACTACTGTGGGGGGCCCCGGGTGACCCAGAAAAAGCTCTCTCGACACTGCCTGAGACCCCACCCCCAGGGCTCCCGCTGCGGGCTCAGCGGCCCTGCCTGTCCGCCTCAGACCCAGAGCCTCCAGGTTGCCCGCAGATCCATGCTGCTGCGGGGGCTGGGGACGCAGCCTGTTTCTAGGGGGGCCACTGGGCTCCTAGCTGGTTACAAGCCCCCCGTGTGTGTCGCTCCGAGGTCAGGAGTCGGCTCCATGGTGAATGGCTGGGGGGGACCCCCACCCCAGTGCTGGGCTGGTCCCCCTCTCCGTCCGGTGCCCCATGCCCCTCCCCCCGGTGCCCCACAGATGCGTCCTGGGGGCCCACTGTGAGTGGGGGAGGGGGTCGGGTGTTCAGGCCTCTGGCGCCTTCCGCACTCACCCCGAGCCCCGCAGCCGGGCCACCTCTTCCCTCAGGGTCTCGTTCTCCTCCTGCAGCCGGTTCATCTCGCTGGCTGCAAAGGACACGGGTCGGACACCGGTCAGCCAGGGCCGGGGGTGGGAGGCGGGGCGGGGCCCTCACCGCTTGCTGCCTGAGGGGTTGGTCACTTGTGGCCGGGAGCATAGGGCCAGCCTCAGGGCTGTGCAAAGCGATGGGGACCCTCCCCCCCAGGAGCTTCTCCCCCCCAGGAAGAGGGGGGAGGGTGTTGAGGGCCAGGATGCCGGGGGGGGGGGTGGGCCGGGGGTGCAGGACACCCCAGCCCAGGGCACTGATGAGGGAGGGACAGGCCGGGGCCTGCTGGGGAACTCGAATCACTGGTCTGCAGATTGGGGTGCGGGTCACCTCCCCCACAGAAGGGTCGCCGGGGCGGGGGCCGCAGCGCCCCAGGAGGGGAGGGCGGGCTCACTGAGCAGGCAGATGTGCTGCAGGTGCTGCAGGAGCGAGTTCTCAAAGTCCTGCTGCTTCTTCCGGGCCAGCTCCTGCGTGACGGTGCAGCGGTCGCACAGGCCAGCCCGCAGCCTGCGGGGCGGGGAAGGCGGGGCCGCTCTGAGGAGGGGGGCTGCGGCCGTGGGGGGGCCGCGCCCTCCGGGACTTGCCCCTGTGGCCCCTATACCCTGACGGCCCACCTCACCCCCTGCCCGGTGTGTTTAGGAAGGAGCCTTGATCCCGCAGTTGGCTTAAGGCCCTGTGGGGCCGGGGGCTGTCTGGTTCCGTTTATTCACCCCCGGAACCCCCGGACTCCTTCTCCACGGCCCCTGGTCATCCTCCCCCTCCCCCGGCTGCTGCGCCCCTACGCAGCACGGTGGGCAGGCGCCCCGCCGCCTGGCCCACCTGTTCTCCAGCACCCGCACGTTGTCCTTCAGGGCCTTCTGCTGCTCCCGGAGCTGGTGGTTCTTGGCGCAGAGCTCCTCCACCCTCTGGGCGTCCCTGCGGGGGGCGAGGCGAGGGGGCTGCTGCTCTGCTGGGGGGCTCCACGCTGCCCCCCGCCCCGCCCCGCCCCGCCGGCCTCTCCCAGGGTCCCGGGCTGGGTCCCACTGGGCGTGCCCGCTGTGGGGACTTCTCGTGCGTGGGGACCCCGTGTGGGCCGAGCTCAACCCAGCAGGCCCCACGCCGGCACCGCAGGCCACCGGGGTGACTGCTGCTGTGTCCCGAACGACGGAGCGGAGCCCTGCTGGGGGCACGGGGAGGCCCCTGGGGCCTTGGTGCCTCGGGACTTCCGGGCCTGTGGGTAGTCGCTGGGGTCTCAGGTGCCCAGATGGACCGGGGCTTGCTCAGCCCCACGAGGGTCCCTGTGCGCGTGGGGGCTTTGTAGTCTGCAGTCCCGGGGCGCCAGCCCCTGGGCCGTGACGTGGACCCGCGACTCCCTCCCCCGCCCCCACCCACGCCCAGCCTGTTTCTGCTTGGGCCAGGGGACCCTGGCCTCGGGGGTGGTGGTGAAGGGGCAGACGGGCCGGCCGCTGTCCCTCACGCCCGTTCCTGCGGGGCCAGGCTGTGCTGACTCACCGGCATCGATCCGAGTTCAGCTCCAGGAGCTTGTTCTGCAGGCCTGGAGGGCGGAGGAAGGGGCAGGGGGTCAGGCCTGGCCGTGTGGCCGGCCGACCCCTGCAGCAGAGCCCCGGGCATCCCCCACCGTCCCTCTCCACACCACACCCCTGCCCAGGTCCCCCCTCTGACTCTCCAAGGCCGCCCCACGAGGTGACCAGGTGGGCGCCCGGTCTCAGGACCGCTCGGAGCCCGGCCCGGGCCCAGCGTCTCCCGTCACTCTCCCCGCGGGGGGCTGTGGCTCTGGCGTCTGTCTGGAGATTGGCCACGACCTCGAGGCTGGGAGCAGCCCACCACCGGGCCAGGCCCTGGGCGGGGTGTTTTTGTGGGTGCAGCTACTGCTAAAATACAGTGGGGCCCTAGGGGAGGCCCCGGCAGACCCCTCCTCGCCACCTCGATGTGCCCCAGCCCGGGCTCGCTGCCCAAACGGGCCCCGCCTCTCCAGGTCTCTGGGGAGGTGACCCGGGCCCTCGGGCCCTCCGGCGTGTGTGGGGGCGCCGGTGGGACGCTCGGTCTCCGGAGGGCCGGGCCCGGGCCCTGAAGCGGGGGGACTGCAGGGTTAGGCGTGTGTCCAGCGCGGTGGGCGCAGGGCAGAGCTCAGACTTAGTGTCTCGGAGGGAGACAGCAGCCTTCGCACCGCACCCCAGAGCCCTCTGGTCAGGCCTCTGGACCCGAGGGTGCCCTCCCAGAGGTGGGCGGCCTCCCTCCTGGGGGTGCTGGGACCCCCGCGCTGGGTGGGGGAGGCCGTTGGCTCTCTGCATCCGGGCCAGGCTGACCCTTCGGGAGACCACCTGCAGGGCCAGCCTCGGGGCTCTGGGGTGAGGCTGGGCGGCTGGACGCGTGGACACTCTGGGCTCGAGGCCCGAGGTTTGGAGGCGCACCATGGGAACCCCCAGGCCTGGCCTTGACGGTTAGAACATCTGCCCAGGTGGGGTCACCTGTGGGGACACCCGCCCCGCCCGCCCGCCCGCCCCGCGTGCTCACCCAGGACCTCCTGCTCGTGGGCAGCCTTCAGCCTGTTGAGGGCCTCCGTGAAGCCGTCCATGGCCCGCAGCGCGGGGGCGCGGGCTGGCCCCTCGGCCCTACTGCTGCTCGGTCTCCAGCCTGTGGGTCAGGAGGTGCGGAGGGGGCCCGTGGGCGTGGGAAGGGCCTGTGGGCCACCCCACACCACTCCCACGGGGTCATGCCCACACGGAGGACCCAGTGGCCTTGTCCACACTGTCCCACTCTCAGGGCACCTCCTGTGGGGCGCTTGGAGAGGACCGGAGGCATGGGTCCTGTCCACTCAGTCTCCCCTCCTTCACCCCGGTCACCCCGGCCGCACCGCAGAGCAGGCCTCTCCCCCCGCACTCCCCCACGGGTACAGATTGGCCCCAGGCCGGGAAGGCTGGGCCACAGGCCCGGTTCTGTCGGCCGGACCCTGCTGTGCCGTGTCCACCAGGTCCGAACCCCCACGGGACTGCCACCCAGGACGGGCTCCTGTGTCCGGCTCCTTTCCTCCGCCCTCTCCCCAGGACACACTCCGCACTAAACCTCTGCTCGATCCCCCATCGGCCGGTCGCTGGAGACCATGGCCACCGCAGGGGCCTTGAAGACGTGCGGGCCTCCCAAAAGCAGCACCCCGCAGTCCCGAACTGGAACCCCCAAAGCTACACGGATGTCCGTGCACGAAGCGACGACTGTCCCCAAACCCACCGCCATGTCTGTGCGACGCCCGGAGGCCAGCCCCCTGCCCACCAGTTGTGGGATGCACAGCTGCCCCGGGCCCCTGGAATGGGGGGCGGCAGGCACCTGGGGGTGGGGCTGGGGGCCACTCTGCCCGGGGGAGCAGGCCTGGGGACTCTGAGAGAAGCTCAGGGCTTCGAGCGCGGGGCCGGGGCTGCCCGCCGGGAAGCAGGCCATCAGCCGGGCTCCCAGCTGGGCCCTGGCCCCCGGGTCCAGAATCAGAACACTGGGAAGCAGGGACTTGTGGATGCGGGACTGGGCCCGGCTAGAGGACAGGGTGAGGCCCTGCGCCCTGCGGTGTCTGAGGAGCCGCCCCGGCGGGGTGCTGGGGTGCGGTGGGGCGTGGAGGGACAGGAAGATGGGGCTCCCCGAACTCGTTTGTCAGACCCACCCGGGCTGCCGGCCACGCCCGGCACAGCTGGGGAAGCGGGGTGACCGTGTGGTGGCGCCGTGCGGGCGGCGAGGCTCCGGCCACTTGGCCGGGGGGACGGTGCCGGGTCCAGCGGCTGAGGGGGCTCATGGGAGCCAGGGCGGGAGCTTCCTGTGAGGGCGGGGGGGTGCACCCTGCCGTGTCCGGGGCCCTGCCGTGTTCACCCTGCTGATGGCGCCTCTGGTGGGGCCCCTGGGAGGGAACCCTTGGAGCCCGGGCCTCCGTGGACTCGGGTTCCCGGCAGGCGGGCGGGGACGGCCTGGGACGGGCTGAGCCGCAGCGCCGGAAATTCTACCCGGACCCGCTGGGCGGGAGGCTCTCCCTCCAGCGCCGGCGGGGGCCTGTGGGCGGGCCGCCTCCCCTCCCGTAAAGGACGAGCCTGAGGGAACCTGCGGTGGTGCCGTGGGCCTGGGAGAGGCCTGCGTGAGCTCTGGCTCCCGGCGGGAGGCAGGCGCTGTCCCCAGTGGGGTCCCTGCGGTGCCCCCTGCGGGCCTGCTCCCCTCCCTCCAGGCTTCTCCCGGTGCCCCGGGCCGCCCCGCTGGCCCTCCTGGCTGCTCCTCGCAGGGTCCATGGCGGACAGCGGGGGCACCCGCCTGCGCGCTGGGCTGGGGAACAGCATGGACAAGTGTTCTGGGGCAGGGCTGTGCGGGCGGCTGGGGCCCCTGGTCTCCCGGGGAGGCCCAGGGCTGTGGGGGCCGGGTGATGTCCCCAGGAGGGCAGGTGACCAAAATGGACTTGGCTGGGGCCAAGCGGACAGTGTCCCAGGTGGACACTGTCCCGTCCACGCTCCCGGAGTGTGGGGAGGGTGGGGGTGGCGGGAGGTGGAGGCGGAGGCGGCCTCGCTGCTTCGGGGAGGAGGGTGGCCGCTGTGGGCAGAGCGACCCCGGGTGGTAGCCCCCTCCTGGGAGGTCAGCCGGCTCTGCGTTCGCCGGGAGTGCCCCGCACAGCCGGGGGGCTGCGGGTTCGGCGAACTCTGGGGGTGAGGTGGGCCCCGCCCAGGCCTGGGGGCCCTGTACCTGCGAGGGTGGCCCGAGTTGCCCCCTGGGGTGCGGTGGGAAGCCAAGACCTGAGTTCTGCCCCTGAGGGCCCCAGACCCCACCTGCGGCCATCCCCGCTGGGACCCCTCCGCTGGGACCCCTCCACTGGGGCCGAGCCTTTGGGAGGAGCAGGAAGAGGGAGGGGTGAGTGGGGGGCCACACTGACGCCCCTGCCTACCTGCCAGCCCCCAGGCCTGGGGGTGCAGGCCCCAACCCTGCAGCCCTGGCGAGGACCCACCCTGCCTCGGACCCCCCTGCGGGCTGCGGCGAGAGGTTTTACCTCGCAGAGCCTCAGTTTCCTTGCGTGGGGGGTGACGCTGCCTGCATATCAGGGTGCCGTGGGGCCCCTTCCCGTGACGGGTGTCCAGGTGACCCCTCCCTGGTAACACGGCCCCAGCCCCATGCCTGGCAGGCCAAGCGCTCAGTTCGCTGCCGTGGAAACCCTGCGCCCCCCCCGCGTGCCCCCTCCCTCGAGACCCCCGGGGGGGCCAGCAGTTCTGTTTATAGGCCCCCCTCCCTTGGGCCGGCGCAGGTCCCGCGGCCACCAGGGCCCCTTGCGGGAGGACACCGTCGTCCTGAGGGCCGGCTCGGGGCCAGGCCCACCGCCGGAGCCGCCGCGCGTTCCCGGCCTCAGAGTTCCCCGAGCACCTGCCGCGTGCCCGGGCTCAGCGCGCGCGTGCGGCCGCCTGAGGAGGGCTGCTCGGCCCCGGCCCGGGTCTGGCCCCGAGGCTCCAGGGTCTCCATCCGCCCCCCCCCCCACCGGGGCGCCCTGCGGCCGTGGGCCGTCGCCCCCCGGCCGAGCCCTGGCGTCCCCGCCGTCAGGCAGACAGGCGGGACCCCTGCCCCACGCTCCCGTGCACCTCGGGCTGTCGGGCTCCTTAGACGCCGCGAGCGTTCCAGCAGCCATCTGCCCAATAGGCGGTCAGCGGCCGGCCTGGGCCCCCACGGGCCAGGTGCCCCACACACGACGGCCTGGCGGGTCTCACGCTGGCCCACGGCGGCCCCGTTTACGGACGAGGAAGCTGAGGTGAGGGTGATGCCACCTGCCACAGTCGCCGGCTCCCAAGGGGCACAGCTGGGACAGACATGGGGACTCCCGGTGACCTTCTGGGCCGGCGCGGGGTGGCGGGTCATGTCCAGAGGTGCATCCCTGCCAGGGAGGGCTCTAACATCCCCCAGACACACGGATCCACGGCACTCGGGCATGGCCGGGATGCCCCCACGCTCACACACGGACGGACGGGATCCTAACACGTCAGCACACACCCCGACACACGAGCACCGTGTGCTCATGTGCCGCCCTCAGCTTCCCCCCCGCACACACATGTGCGTGCATGCACCTGTGTGCTCGTGGTTGCAGACCCCACATGCACACACACACACATGCACAGAGGGCAGGGCAGGTGTGTCCTGGGCTGGCCCAGGTCGCTCTGCGGCTCAGGTAACTGTGGGCCTTGCGACCGAGCTTCCTGAGGATGGGCCGGCCGCCTGCTGCCTCCCTGAGGCCCGGCTGGGGGAGGCCGAGTAGGACCCATGTCCCCCCCCACCCGAGGTCTTTGTCACTGTTCCCCAGGGACCCCAAGCTGAGAGCAGCTGTGTCCCACCGCGCCCAGGCTGTGCCGTGGACCTCGCCCCACACCTCGGCACCCCCGCAGCCCCAGGACCCAGCTGTGCAGCAGCCCCGGATGGAGTGCCTGGCCAGCCCCTTCCCGGTGCCCCCGCCCCTCGCCCCCAGCCTCGCCTCTGCACCCCGGCCCTGCCCAGGAGGCCCCCGGCCCCTCCCCCACTCAGCTCCCTGGAGGAGCTGCACCCCTCTCTCCAGCCTGGCCAGCCTCTTCCCCAGTGAGCAGAGGCTGGGGAGCCCCGGGGAGCACCCTCACGGCGACCCTGGCCCCTGCCCTGCCCCCGAGGGCTGGAGCCGAGGGGCCCCGGGGTCCCCGGCACTCACACGGCCCCTCGCGCGTGCTGACCTCTGCAGCCCTCTCCGCCGGCCCGAGCGCCCGCCTCGGAGACGGGAGGGAGCAATGCGTGATCTTGCACAGGCAGCCAGACGCGATTTTGGCCAAACCCGCTCGACAGGTTCGGGGCCGTCCCTGCCAGGAGCAGAAAGGAGGCAGAGACGGCCCGAAGCCGCCGGGCGGGTTCTGCCATCGCGCAGAAAGCGGCAGAACGGGTCGGGCCTGAACCACATAGAGATGGGATTGTTTCCCCATAATACCCCGTGGCCCGGCCCCCGGCCAGTTAGCAAGGAGAATCCGGGACCCGGGACACGGGACTGAGGGCGGGGGGAGGGGGCTGGGGGCGGGTGGGGGCAGGCAGGAGGGAGCCGACCTCTGGTCCGGTCACCTGGCGGCACCGGTGGCCTGCGGGGCCCCCTTCCGCCTCCAGTCCCGGCCTCGGTTTCCCTGTCTGCAAAGTGAGGATGAGGAGCGCAGGGCCTGCTGAAGGCACCCTGCTGGTCTGGGGGGTGCCCTGCCCAGCGCCGCCCCCTCTGCCGCTCTCCGAGGAAGGCAGGCAGGCCTGTGCAGGGGGGCAGGCCGGGGGTGCCCCGTGGGGCTGGGCTGCGGCCGGGGCCTTGTGGTTTGCGTGTTTGCTCTCTGCATGGTGACCTTGTGGCCGCACTCGGACGGGCCAGAGCTGCCTCTGCAGGGACAGCAGCACCCCGCCCCCCGCGCAGCCTCTGCACCCCCACGCCCCCAGGCCCCCCACCTCCCTCCTCCCCGGCGCCCCCCCCCCCCGCACATACTCCCTTCCCCCACCGCCCATGCCTCCTCCATCCCCTCCCCACGCCCCGCCCCCACCCTCACAGCCCAGGAGCTCCCGCCCCGCCGCCCCAACGAGGTCTGGCAGGAACTTCCTGCTCCCAGGAGGCCCCTGGGGCCACGGGTGCAGGTGGCCCAGCCCTGGGCCCTCAGGAGCGCATCGGGGTCAGCCAGGCCTCGGAGCTTTTCGGGCGGCCCCTGCACAATGCCCTCCCCTTCCCGGCTGGGCTCTGTGTGAGAGGGGTCCTCGGGCCACCAGCTGTGTGTTTGGGTGTGTCTGCATGTGTCTGCGTGTGCCTCGTGAGGGAGCGCGTGTAGCGAGTGCAGGCACAGTCTGACGTGTGTGGCCCCCATGGCTTCCGTCAGGCTCTCACCCCGAGCCCCAACACATGCAGACGCCGAGCGGAAGTGTTTGTGTATCACACATGTGACGGAGTTCCCCAAGTGCCACAGGGTCAGGGAGGCGTGGGACCAACCCCCTGAAGTCCCCCTGCACCTTGGCGGCGGGACCAGATGGTGCAGGTGACATGGCGGGCATGGCCACCTTAGGTCTCACCTGGCACATCCATTGGGCAGCTGCTTAGAGAGCACCCACTGTGCGCAGGCCCTGGAGACGCAGGACAGAGGCTCCTACTTACAGAGCACCCACTGTGCGCGGGCCCTGGAGACTCAGGACGGAGGCCCCTACTTACAGAGCGCCCACTGTGCGCGGGCCCTGGAGACTCAGGACGGAGGCCCCTACTTACAGAGCGCCCACTGTGCGCGGGCCCTGGAGACTCAGGACGGAGGCCCCTACTTACAGAGCGCCCACTGTGCGCGGGCCCTGGAGATAGTGACAGCCCTGCTCCGGTGGGCTGGGGCCCGCGCTGTGGGGAGGGGAAAGCACAGGACAGCTCGTGACAGGCGGAGGGTGCCCCGAGACGGGGTGCAGGGCAGGAGGGGTGCGGGGACACCGTGGGGGAACCGCCCCCAGGAGCCACGGGCAGAGGGAGGGGACAGCTCTAGAGAGGAGGCGGGGCGTCGGTGTGCCCTCCCAGCCGTGCAGGAACTGCCGCTCGGTCACCCGCTTGGCTCTGGGCGCCGCCCTGGGCACATGCGTGGCCGTGACCCTGACTGACGTGCATTTTGGCCTCGCGTGTGGGCACCTGGCTCTGAGAATCGGACACAGGGCGGGCGTCCCCTGAGCCTGGGCTCAGCCGTCAGTGGCGGAGACGAAGGCCGGCGGTGCCCGGAGGAGTGGCTGTGAGGACTGAGATCACCGCCTGCCAGCCTGCGTCCATCATTCTCTGCCTGTTGACGCCCGGGGAGCCCGGTGCTGGGGAGCGGGGCGCCCTCACCTGGCAGCCCCTGCCCCTCAGACGGCACCCGGCCAGGCTCCCAGCGACGGCCTGGACCACCCTGCAGACTCTGGCTTCCCCCCCAGCAGAGCCCAGGGCCAGGGTGCTGCTCACGGCCCACCTGCAGCTGGAGGCCAGGGCCCAGGTGGGCTGGGTGGCACCTGCCGGGGCTGCAGGGAGTCAGGGGCCCTCCCAGAGCCCAGCCCGGGCTCCCCTGGGCCCGGGAGCACTGCACTCTGCACCTGTGAGGGGCTGGGGCCAGGAGCCTGGGGAGGGGTCTGTGCCCCCCCCCCCCAGCCTTTCTTCTGAGGCAGCTGGAGGCGAGCCCAGCGGGGTGGGGCGGTCCGCTTTCATGCCCCGCTGGGAGGGGCTGCAGATAAGGCTTCAAAGACGACTGCGGGAGCACCTCTAAAAGCCTGGCCTGTCCCACCGCTGTTTGTGTTACGGGACTGATAGATGGCGGCGCGGGCAGCAGCCCGGCCAGGCCAGCCTGGGGCCCTGGGTCCCAGATAAATGGCTCACCTATTAATAAGGCCTGGCAGAGGGGGCCTACGGGGGTGAGGAGGCCTTCTGGGGTGTCTGGGGCCCCTCCCTGTGGGGGGCTCCCAGGGACTCTGCACCCAGACTGCTGCTGAGGAGCAGGGAGCGGGGGTGGGCCTGGCCCGGCGGCGGGAGGGGGGTGCCTAGTGATGTCTTGCGGGGGCGGGGGAGGCAGCCCCAACTCTCCCTCCGCGGGGCCTCAGCGCTAGGCGCCCTGTTCTTAAAACTGCAGGGTCCCAGCCCAGCGGAGCGAGGAGCGCCCCCTCTCGGTCAGAGCTGAAATGGGCGGGGCCACCGTCCCTGTGCCCCGGGGACCTCGGTCCGGGGGCCGCCTCTGCAGAGCCCCCTTCCCGCGCGTTCCACCCGCTGTCCAGCGCAGGGGCGCCTGGCACAGTCACAGGGCACAAGGGTCACCGTGGTCTGGCCCCAGGCCCCAGGCATTGTCCTCGCCCCCCCCCCCCCAGGAAACCCGCACCGTGAGCCCCGGCGGCTCCCCGTCCCCACAGGGGGGCGGGGCCTTTTCCACTCTTCTCCCAGCCCAGACGCGGAGGGGCGAGACCCCGCGGTCTCTGGCGTCCTGCGGGCCGGCTCCCCGTTCCTTCTGAAGGCCCAGTTACGCCCCGTCGTGCGGAGGGTCCCCGCTGTGCCCCTCCGTCACCTGTTGGTGGGCCCTTGGGCCGCTGCCGCCTGGTGGCTGCTGCGGGGGCGTGTGTGTTCGGTCGCTGGAGGAGCCCCTGCTCGCACCCCCTTGGGCGTGCGTCCCGGAGGGCAGTGCCGGCTCACGCGGTGATTCTCGGTCTGAGGAACCGCGGGCGGTGTGGGCGCCCCAGTCGCCCCAGTAGCGGGGACCACCGACCGTCTGCCAGATGGCCAGTCCTGCTCACGCTGACGGGGGCGCCGTCGGGGAGACCGAGGCTCCGGGGAGAGAGCCCGCGACGGGGTCAGCAGGGGACGGGTTGGGGGGTCAGGAGCGGTGCCCCCCCCCGGGGCTGGGGTCAGGGTGGGGACAGTGGGCGCAGAACCAAAGGCAGCAGCAAACACTCAGTCATCGAGAGAGAAGACACGCTTTGGGGGTTGCTCTCAATGACACCCCCCTGGAGAGGACGCGGGGCCCCTGCCGCGGTGAGAAACGACACCCTGAGGCCCGGTGTGACTTTTCCACGGAAGGCGTCCCCCCCCCCCCGGGGTGGCGTGTCGTCCACATCCACATCCGTGAGCGTGCGCATGTGTGTGAGCTACATTCTACACGATTTTGAGGTTGTTCCCAAGATCCCTGCGACCTCTGCCTTGCAAATACCTCCCCCCGCCCCCCGTGGCTCGTCTTCCCGTTCTCGCGGCAGTGGCTCCCGTGGAGCAGAAGGTTCTGGTTCCAATGAGGTCCAGCCCATCGGCTCTCTCTCTCTCTGTCTCTCTCTCTCTCTCTCACAGGCTGGGCCGTGTCTTCGGTGCGGCGCCTGAAAAGTCAGCGCCGAACCCCAGGTCCTCTAGGTGTCCCCGGGTCGCCTCCTGGGGGCTTTCTGGTCTGGGGTTACATTTGGGTCTGCGGTCCGTCCCGGGCTGACTCCGTGAAGGGCGCAGCCTGTGTGTGGGCTGGTGGTTCTGCACGTGGACGTCCAGCGGTCCCGGCCCCAGGCAGTGAGGGACCGTCCTTTCTCCGCCGAGTGGCCTCCGCTCCTTTGTCAGAGGTCCGCCGACCCTGCTGGCGGGGGTCTGTTTCCGGGCTCCCCGTCTGTCCCGTTGGTCTGTATGTCTGTCCCCGCACCGGCGACCACAGCCGGTCCCGCGGCCGGGGCCTCAGCCCTCGGACTCCGCTCTCCCCCCGGCTGCTCAGCTGGCTGTTCCGGGTCCTCTGGCCTCGGCGCAGACTTCAGAGTCAGTGTGCCCGCGCCCCAGGGCAGCGGGCTGGGTCCCGACGGGGGCGGCGTCGACTCTCCCAAAGTGGACTTCACTAGCCGTGGGGTGGGGGCTCGGGGGACAGGGACCAAGGGGGCTGGGGGAGAACCAGAGGGTGCCTGGGGCTTCCTCCACCTCAGCTTCCTCTGGGGGCCAGTGCGGTGCCGCCCCGGCAGGGGTCGGGGTCAGACCAGAGGCCTCCCCGCGGGAGCTGGGTCGTGCCTGGCCCAAGAAGTCCTCCCATGTGAGTGGGCGCTCTCGCGCTGGTTCGTGTCGCCGTTTTGGGGGTCAGCAGCTGGGGAGGGCCCGACCCCCAGCCCGTGGCGAGGCGTCCCAGACCCGGGGCAGCGATGCTCCCCGAGAGACGCGCCCCCCCGGAGCCGGTCCGGCGGTTCTGGGCCCTGCGGCCTGGCTCCGGGAAGTCGGAAACTTGTTTTTCTGCTTCCTGGTCCCCGGACGTAAACAGCCCCGACCTACGATGGCAGCGCTCCCGGCCTCGCATGTC